CAACATGTTAGGGCAATGGTGACACAAAGCTTGTGAGTATGTCAACCAACCAACGTCTAATTTTACTTAAAGCCATTCCAGGAAATGAACCCATACCTGACACTGCTTGGGTGAACGTTCTTGTTCTGGTTCTTCAGAGACTGGATAGTCCAGAGATGTAGGTTAAACCAAATGCTGCCGGCCTTAAAAGTAAAAAAAAAAAAATGACTCAATGATATTCTACTATACTCCTAGATTAGTGACCTATCCTGTCACCACCAGAGAAACTTCCTCCTACAGCAGTTGGTAACAAATATAGAAACCCACACACAGGCATTATGCAGAGAGAAAGAGAGGAGAGAGTAAGATAGATAGACCTTGCAAGAACACATAACTCTAAAGGGGATGTCTCTAACAAATCCTTCTCCTCAGAGCTCAGGGAATCCTGTGGAGGAGGAGGTGAAAGAGTGTAAGAGCCGGAGGGGATGGAGGACACCGGGAGAACAAGGCCTTATAGATCCACGGAACAATGCTCATATGAACTCACAGAGACTGAAGCAGCAAACACGGGGCCTGCACGATCTGCACCAGGTCTTCCACATATATGCTATAGCGTCTAGTTTAGTGTTTTCATGGGACTCCTGAGTGTGTGAGTGAGTGGGTCTCTGATTCTTGTGCCTTCTCATAGGGCTTTTCTCCCTCCTCTTGGCTTGCCTTGTCTAACTTGGATGTGATTTTTTTTTTGTTTTGTCTTACTATATTTTATTTTGTTATATTTTGCTGTTATCTTTTAGAAGTCCATTTTTTAAAATGAGTCAGAAAGGGAGTGAATGAAGATGGGAGGGGAGGTGGGGAGGACCTGGGAGGAGTAGAAGGAGGGCAAATTGTAATCAGCATAGAGTGTATGAGCAAACAATCCATTTTCAATAAAAGGGAAAATACCTTGTGAATTGCTATTCCCACTTTTTTTTTTCTCAAATGAAGAAAACTTAGCAAAGGATTAATTACAATTTCAACTAAGGGGGATGAGATTCATGTATGATCTCTGGTTGTCAGTTCAGTCTCTGTGAGGCCCTTATAGCCTAGATTAGTTGATTCTGTGGATCTTCTTGTTGTGTGCTTCATACCACAGGCTCCTACAATCCTTCCTCCTCCTCTCCTGCAGGATTTCCTGAACTTTGCCTAATGTTTGGCTGTGGGTCCCTTCCTGAGTTTTGAATTTGTAAGATGATTTAAATTCTCCATGTTTCAATTTGTTACACATATATAAATGAGTATTTTTATTTTATGCAATTGTATCTATGAAAACATTAACTACCTTCAACTACAATCACTTAGTATTTTTTCCCTTCCTTGGTATCCTTCCCTCCATTTTATCCCTCCTATGTCTTTTGTAAGCCTTTAAGTATAAACTGTAGGAACTTAGGACTGAGGTGTAGTTCAGTGGCAGAACCCTTGCCTAGCGTCCATGAGGTCCCGAGTTTAATCCTGAGCTTAGCTAAAACAGTAGTATAGATTTTACATGGGCGTATGATGTGATGCTCTGATAGTTCTGCACAGTGAACTGAGTACTAACTTTGAGATAACCCATCTACCCATCTTTTCACAGTTTCCAGGGATTTTGCATGTGTAAGTATATGTATATGTACGTGGTGTGTGTGTGCTGAGAATACTTAGTCAGTGGAAGTGATTCACATCTGTAATTCTCAGGAGACTGAGGCAGTAGCATGACTATGGTGTGAGGCACCATCAAAAAAAGGAAAGGAAAGGTAAGGAAGGAGGGAGGGAGGGAGGAAAGAAGGAAAGAAGGAAGGAACCAAACAAGCAGTGCCGTAGGAAATGTGAAGAATTCTAAGTCTGTGTGCTGTATGTTGAGCTCTGGGGCTCTCTCATCCTTCCACATTGAGCCTTTAGCCTCCATCTCCCCATTTTCCCCAAGCTTTCATCCCTTAGCAACTGCTACTTTATTGTCTGCTTCCATGAATTCAATGCTTTTAGATTCTGCACACAAAGTGGGCCTGCACAATAGATTTGTCTCCGTTTCTGGCACATTTTACATCGTTTAACGCCTTTTTCTTTATTTAGACTCTACAGGTGTTGTTGGTCTTTGGGACCTTTCATAAAAATTGCAATGCATTTTGTAATTTTTTTCTCTTGGGAAATAGACCACAAGGCCACTTTTCGTTAGCTAATAAAAGCACTAAGTCCACGACCAACAGGGAGAAAAAAGACCCAAAGGAGCCTCTAATACAATAGCCAGAGCAGTGGCAGTACTTCCTCTGAAGCTGGTGAGTCTCAGGTGTGGCAGGGAATCAACACAAAGCAGACACTGAGGAGGGAGTGGAGTCTAAGAGAAGGTATGACAAGGAGGTAGATCTCCTTCAGTAGGGTTTAGAGTGTAGGTGCCGACCCTGCCAAGGCACTTGGATGACTGACCTGGCAGTGGTTTCCTTAAGAGATAAAGCCGAGTCACCTGTGTTTAGTGGACCCAACTTTGATATAAGCTTAGCCTCACCATGTGAGGATGCAGAGAGAGGTATAATCTGTACTCCAGGAAATAGAACCTCACCCATTTCAGTTGCTGAATTTCCTGATCCCCTAATCTTATTTATTTACATACTGTTAGTAATTACTGTTTGTGATTTATGCACTATCCAGTGTATAGGATTTTGAATGAGCTGAAGTAATACCTATACTTATCACTTCCTTTTTCAAATATTCCATGATTCTCTGTAGTGTCTATGCGCACCTTCAGAATGATTTCTAGAGATCCCACAAGGTTGCCACAACCCCGGAGTCTGCTCAGTCATTTCCCCCAGAATTCAGCACTCCCAGGTCCCAGTGCCTCATCCTTTATGGTTACTCAGCATCCACCTAGGTAGGTGCTTCTGCTCTCGTTATTCCTGAAAGCATAACCCTCAGTTTCCTTCTTTCTGCGTTCTGCTCTGATGGCCCTAATTTGCCTCTCCTGACAGAGTAAGACCTCAGTAAATCACAGCCCCCTTTCCTTCTTACGGTTGCGTGCTTTTTGCTCTATTTCAAATAAGACAGTTGAACACCAAGACTTTTTCCTTTGGGAATCATATGTTGCATGTGAGTCAGAACTGGAATGCAAATCGGTTTGAGACCAGTTTTTAAGCCGTATCGTACTGATTCATTCTCTCCTATGGCTTAATAGTCACTGTTATAGCACCCACCATCTACTGCAATATGAGTGCTCACAGGTCCAATCTCTTCATTAAGTAAGCTCCCTATAGACAGTAACTTTTGCTGTATCCTAGGATTCTCACTGTTTAGACTGGGACTAGAAAGCACTTTTTTTTTTTTCTTATTCAAGCAAATCAAGTTGCTCCAAGGACTTACACTTGAGGTCAGTGGAAGGGAAAACCCTTAGAAAGTATGGGCATGCTTCCCATCCATCTTATCTCTTAGATTCACACTGAGAGTCATTTTAATGCTTGCATTCCTAAGATATTTAATATAACCTGTACTTTGAAAGCCTGGGATATTCAAAATGAAAGTCCTTAGGTCAAACGATTGTTCCCATTGTCTTCCCTGGCAGCCAGACTGATGACTTCTCATACACACCACTACCACTGAGCCGGTGGTTCTAATGGGCAAGCATGCAGGATCAGTGATTCCAGTCGCACTGGGCACATGGCACTGGGCCTTCTCTTTATCTTGCCACTAGTCCCTGGCTCCTTCTTCTTTGGCTATTGTCATTACCATTACCCTTCTTAGAGTTTGACAAATTGGTTTTTATATAGGGAAACAAAAATGGTGGTCAACAAAAGAAAAAAAAAACCTTTCAAAGTCCAGGTTTTCAATGACACTGAATAACAGAAACATTCTTATGGAAAAAGGAATAAGTAAATTGAATTTATGTTTTAATTACATCGTAGTATAGATCAGAGACAGATATGGTGAGAACAAAGATACTAAGAGGAACAAAGGTAGGCAGTTTATAGATTTTCCAGACTGTGTGTTAACCTCAGAGGGCAGGAGCATGAGAACAATGTAACCCTGGACACAATGACCCTGCGTCTGTTTCCTCATTTAATTTTTTTCCAACACAATAAGAAAAGCATTTTCATTTAAAAACTTCAATTTTCTCATTTTCAGGCATATTATAATTTGAATGGTTGCTAGAAAATTGTCTGAATACTTTGCAAATTTCTTAGGATTTTGCATTTCTATGGAATTTTTCTGTGTGCAAATGCTGGTGTCTTTGCATCTGTATGTGTTTCTTATGCTTTTTAATTGGCTTTCCCCCCTGTTTGCTGATTTTGTCCTACTCTGTTTTTTGGTTGTTATTTTACTTGCTGCTTGTTTTCTAACAAGAGATAGAAACAGGAAAAGAAAGGGTGTGGACAGGAATGAGGGTGAGGATCTGGGAGGAGCTGAGGAATGTGAAGCCACGATCAGGATATATTATATGAAAAATCTATTTTCAATAAAAAAGATAAAAATTTCTCTGCCCATAACAAGTTAACTTTTTTATCTTTAAAGCTTCTTTCCCCTACCCCATTTATCTCTGCAATTTCATTATTTCTGACACACAAACTATAACAGAAAATCATCTTTGGTGCTGTGATGGCACTGAGCGCCTTGTTTCCTCTTTTTCAGCTCGTCCCAACATTGCCTTTGTCAAGGGCATTGGTCAATAGGGATGGCCAGAATAATGAATCCTTAAATCTTTTTTTTTTAAAAAAATATATTTTTAAAATGCATGCACATGTGTGTATGTGTGCACCGATGTGCTTTCCCATGTGTGTGCTTGGATGATTTTGGATGCCATTCACTGACAGACATCTCCTGACCCTTCAGTATTTTTTAAAAGAAGGAAATGAATAGAAAGAATTTAACACAGTGCTTTTTGGTGCATAATGGTGATGATGCACTTCACGGTGCATTGAATAGAAGCTTGAGCTCTATTCTCTCTAGAACATATATTTTCTATCTTCCCTCATTTCCTTCATTATATGAATCTCTTGATTTCTGGCTTTATTGGCAGTTCTTCCATGGCATTATCCAGCAACAACTCTGAAACTTCTGTCTCTGAATTCCTCCTCATTTGCTTCCCTAACTACCAGACCTGGCAGCATTGGCTGTCCCTGCCCCTCAGCCTCCTCTTCATCCTGGCCATGGGGGCCAATGCCACCCTTCTCATCACCATCAGGATGGAGGCCTCTCTGCATGAGCCCATGTACTACCTGCTCAGCCTTCTCTCTCTGCTGGACATTGTGCTCTGCCTCACTGTCATACCTAAGGTCCTGGCCATCTTCTGGTTTGACAACAAATCCATAAGCTTCTCTGCCTGCTTCCTCCAGATGTTTGTCATGAACAGTTTCCTGACGATGGAGTCCTGCACCTTCATGGTCATGGCCTATGACCGCTATGTGGCCATCTGCAAGCCTCTGCAGTACCCATCCATCATCACTGACCAGTTTGTGGTTAGGGCTGCCATTTTTGTTAGAAGCTGGAATATCCTTTTTGCTCTCCCTGTCTCCATTCTTTCCACCAGACTAAAGTACTGTGCTCAGAACAGCATCAAGAACTGCATCTGTACCAATCTGTCTGTGTCCAAACTCTCTTGTGATGACATTACCTTCAATAAACTATACCAGCTTATAGCAGGTATACCTCATCCTCATTGTTCTCTCCTACTCTTTTATATTCAGTGTTGTGCTCTGGATCAAAGCTGAGGGAGCTGTAGCCAAGGCCCTGAGCATATGTGGTTCCCACTTCATCCTCATCCTCTTCTTCAGCACAGTCTTGCTGGTGCTGGTCATCACTAACATGGCCAGGGAGAGGATTGCCCCAGATGTCCCTATCCTGCTCAACATCTTGCATCACCTCATCCCTCCAGCTCTGAACCCCATTGTTTATGGGGTAAGGACCAAAGAGATCAAACAGGGAATCTACAACTTGCTGAGGAGGTTGTAAGAAGTACTCAGTGCCTTTAGAACTGTTAATAAGTAATAGGGAATAGGAAATCATTTTTGTATTAGAAAGAAATTAAGAATTTAAATCCTAAACAACTTTTGACTCTGATTTTACAAACATCTTAGGCAGCATGAAAAGCATTCACTTACAAACCCTTTTCTTTTTGCCATTTAAAGATGGAACACACAGAGAGTCTGGTTATGTATATTATTGTCTTTTCTTTGAATTTTTTGACTGTGAAGGAGCTANCAAAATGTGGATCTAAGGATGTATTGCTTTGGAAAAGAGGTTCTTCTTTTGTTTCCACAGAGGATGAAAACCTGTGGAATCCTTTAATGTAGTTTGATGGACCAAGACCCCCTGAAAGGTTGCATTGAACACCCCTCAAAAAATTACTTAGCCCAATAAACAGCAAGAAGCAGTTTGGAGAGAACTACACTCATATTCCCAAATATTGTCTATAAATATATGTTTACATTCAAAGGGGAGATTTTACAAATTTAAGGTCAATTTTGTTATATATGTGTATTTCTGACCTTGATTAAGGTATTGTGTTTGTGTAGCTCATTTAAAAATGTAATGTATAATTAAGAAATATAGGTTAATAGATAATCATCTATAATAGTCAAGCTTCTAGTCAGGTTAATTAGGTTTTCTAGATATATAGAAATACATTTCAATTAGGTAGGTGTTCTCCAAACCTTTCAAAGACCTACAGAATATGACATTTAAATGTTTTAAGAAGTTAGGACTTTTCATGACAGTGAGATACATCTGCTCCTGGCAGCACCAATTATTTCAAGAGGATGATGATCATCCAAGAGGCTACTCATGGAGTTTGTTAGCCATTTGAGCAAGAAACTGCTCTTGCCTGTACTGTTGGATAGTATGCTGTGTGAACTGAACATGTAGGACACACAGAGAAATGACTGCTGAACTTGCCTAAAGGTGAGACTGTCCTTCAGGGTTTCTGCTTCTTGAAAGAGTCTGCAAGACATTCTGCAGGATACAGAAGAAAGTGACTGACAAACTGCTAATATAGGCAGAGCTATCTTTAAAATCTCCTGCTTTGTGGAAAAATCTGCTGGATACTATGGGCCTGTAGGCTGAAGATGGATGTCCAAATGGTACAGAAGAACTTTTGGTGACTGTACAGGCAGAAAGATGTCTGTCATTTCTAGAGTTTTGGAAGTTGCTTACAATACACTTTCTGTTTACTTAGGTAATATATTTTTTCTGGAGTCTTTGATGGAGTTGAAGAATTTATAGTTATAGTTTTCCTTAGTTATGATAAAAGATAAAGTAGATATAAATATTGTAACTATATTCTTACTTGATACCTGTTTTGTTATATGTAATTTTACTATGTTAAAGTTAAAACCTTCCTTTTTATTTAAACAAAAAAGGGAAGGTGATGTGGGATTCCCCTCTGTATGCTGTGAATACCATTGGTTAATAAAGGAATTGGCTTGGCATATAGCAAAGTAGAACTTAATTAGGCAGGGAAAGCTAAACTGAATGCTGAAAAAAGGAGGTGTAGTTAGAGAGAAGCCATGGAGCTGCCACCTGAGATAGACATGCTGAAACATTGCTGGTAGACCATGACCTCATGGTGATGCACAAGTTAATGAAGATGGGTTAAATTAAGATGTAGTTAGCAAATAAGAAGCAAGAACTAATGGGCCAAGCAGTGATTTAAATAATATAGTTTCTGTGTGATTATTTTGGGAGTCTGGGCATCTGGGAAATGAACAAGTAGCCTCCTTACAACGCCTACTGTCTTTGGAGGCCAGAAAAAGGCATTAGATCCTGCACACAGAGTTAGAGATGGTTGTTAGGTCCCACATGGGTGTTAGGAGACAAACATGGGTCCCTTGAAAGAGCAGAAACCACCACTGAGCTACCTCTCCAGTCCCAGATTTGGATATTTTATACAGTTTCTAACACCAGGCTTGTCTCTTCATGACCCATCCTGGGTACAACTGGGAAGATTTGTCTATCTGTCCTACTGCCTGTGACTCAGTCTTTGTCTTAAGCAGTGCTTGATAATGTGCACTCACAGTTTTTCTGCCAGAAAAACCCAGAGTTTCTTTTCATAGTAAAATGTCTTAGACTATTTTGAAGTTTTCCCCTAATGACACCAATGGTCATGCCAAAGTGGATGGATAAAAACCAATACAGCCTCAACCCTACATAACAGACTATAGGCAACTGAGGAAATATGGAAGAGGGAGAGGTGGTCTTTTTCAGGAAGAACACATCAGTTGGTTTTCCAATGCCAAACTGTCAGCTCTGAAAACAGAATGCAAGGGTTTATAGACTGGGCAGGTTATAATTAGCAATATATACACATATACATATATGCATGCAAAAACATTAATGAAAAATAGGCTGTAAATTTGAAGGAGAGAATACAAAGGTATATAGGAGTGTTTGGAGGGAAGAAAGGGAAGGGAGAAATGTTGTAATTATATTAGAATCTTAAAAAGCAAAATGTGATTACTGCCTACTGTGTTGGATATGCTGATTTCTCTGAGTTGAGAATTGTTCAATACACATATAAAGTAAAACATCACATTGTTCTTTAATGCATACAAATATTGTGTGTCAGTTGAAACATAAAACTGATTAATTAAAATATGTGTAAATACTGGAGAAAGAGAAGAGAATAAAATCTTGACTTTGTGAGAGTTTGATTTTATGTACATTTTGTGAAAACTGTATTTCAGATTTTGAATTATGACCTTCTCTGGGTATATATTAGCATGATACTTTCTTGTGATACTGGGAGGTGGCAGCACTAGACAAAGCACTGGCCACCCGATGACCCAGCAAACAATGGATACTAAATGGTATTGAGTGTCCAGGGAGTGCTGCTCAGTAGGTTATGTAATAGCATATATGAGTTGTGTGTGTGTGTGGGGGGGCATTTACGTGTGTTTGTGTGTTTATGCCTGAGGGGAGGTGCACAGGTTTCTTTGCACCTGGAAAGTCAGAGGTCAGTGTTAGGTGTTTGCATCTCACTCTCTCTCTTTACCATACTTTTTGAAATAGCACCTCTCACTGAATTTGGTGCTCACCATTTTGGCTAGAATGGCTGACCAACCAACTCCTAGGATTCACCCATCTCATCCCATGAGCATTAGAGATACATGATGTAACCCATGGCTTTTATTTTTTAAAGTTTTTATTGAGCTATATATTTTTTCTGCCCCCTCCCCTTCAGCTCTGCCCTATGGTCTCCATGCTCCCAATTTACTCAGGAGATCTTGTCTTTTTATACTTCCCATGTAGATTAGATCCATGTATGTCTCTCTTAGGGTTCTCTTTGTTGTCTAGGTTCTCTGGAATTGTGATCTGTAAGCTGGTTTTTCTTTGTTTTGTGTCTAAAAACTACTCATTAGTGAGTACATATTATATTTGTCTTTCTGGGTCTGGGTTACCTCATTAAATATGATATTTTCTAGTTCCATCCATTTGCCTGCAAATTTCAAGATGTTATTTATTTTTTTCTGTTGTGTAGTACTCCATTGTGTAAATGTACCACATTTTTCTTATCCATTCTTTGGTTGAGGAGCATTTAGGTTGTTTCCAGGTTCTGACTATGACAAACAATGCTGCTATGAGCCAGGTGGTATTGGTACACTTCTTTAATCCCAGCACTTGGGAGGCAGAGGCAGGTAGATCTCTTTGAATTTGAGGCCAGCCTGGTCTACAAGAGATAGTTCCAGGACAGGCCCCAAAGCTACAGAGAAACCTTGTCTCAAAAAACCTAAATAAATAAATAATAAAAAATAAAAATAAAAAGCAACCTCCCAAAATAGCAAACAAACAAACAAACAAAAAAACTCAATGCTGCTATGAACATTAATTGAGCACATGTCCTTGTGGTATAATCGAGCACCCTTTGGGCATATACACAAAAGTGGTATTGGGTAGGTTGTTTCCTAAGTTTCTGTGAAAGTGCCATACTGATATCCAAAGCGGCTGTACCAGTTTGCACTCCCACTGGTAATAGAGGAGTGCTCTCCTTACCCTACATTCTGTCTAGCATAAGTTGTCATCAGTGCTTTGATCTTGGCCATTCTTACAGATGTAAGTTGGAATCTCAGAGTTGTTTTGATTTTCATTTCTCTGATGGCTAAAGATGTTGAGCAATGCCTTAAGTGTCTTTCAGTCATTTTAGATTCCTCTGTTGAGAATTCTCTGTTTAGGTCTGTACTCCATTTTTTTATTGGTTTTTTTTTTTATCATCTTTTGATGACCAATTTCTTGAGTTCTTTGTATATTTTGGAGACCGGTCAATGTGGGGTTGGTGAAGATCTTTTCCCATTCTGTAGGTTGCCATTTTATCTTGATGACCATGTCCTTTGCTTTACAGAAGCTTCTCAACCCATGGCTTTTCTATGGGATCTGGGAATCTGAACTCGTATCTTTAGGCTTGGCATGTGTAGCTAGCTAACTGTCTTAGTTACTTTTCTATAGCTGTTAAGAGACACCATGATCAATGCAACTTGTAGAAGAAAGAGTTTATTCTGGCTTTAATTTTAGAGAGTGAGTCCAGCGCCATCATGGTGGGGACCATGGCAGCATGCAGTCATGAATGGCACTAGAGCAGAAGCTGATCATAAACAGGAGGCAGTCAGACAGATTTCTATACCTAAATCTAATCTATTTCTATCTATATATCTATCAACATAGATATGCATAGACAGAAGGCTAACTGTGAATGACTTGGGCTTTTGAAATATTTTGAAACTTTTAAGCCACCCATAGTGACATCCATCCTCCAACAAGGCCAAATCCAATCCTTTCCAAACAGTTCTACCAACTAGAGACAAATATTCAAGTATATAAGTCTATGGCGGCCTTCTCATTTGAACCATTACACAAACAGTTCACCTACTATCTCCCTAGCTTCTATAGCTTATATTTTAACTTTTGAATGGCATTCAGTTTAAAATGTGTTCATTGTCATGCAACCCCTTTGGATGTCTGCC